TTAAAACTTGAAGTATGAACAAAGGGATAGAAAAGAGGACATGTTAAAGTAAAATAATCTTCTCTCGCATTGAAAGTAGTTTTGAGCACAAATAAGCTCTCATTTTGGCAACAATGCCATCAAATAATAGACATGTAATCCTTCCATGAGTAATAGAAACCCCTAAATAGGTGAAGGGAAAAAACTATTAGCAAAAAGCAAGTTTAGATGGGACACTAAAGAAACTTGCTCATTGGTAGCCCAATTAGGGAGGAGAAACGAGCTCTCCGAGGTATTTATTCTCTGCCCCAAATAAGTTTCATACAACTTAAAAAAAAAACAAGCAGCACACCTAGACATTCCTCAAAACACCACGCAAAAATCAAAACATCATTTGCCAATGCCAAATATGGGATCCTGCTACCTGAAGTAGCATAGAACTATCACTTATCCCATGCGTATATATGATGAATGCCACGACCCAAAAACTCTGCCACTATTAAGAACAAGGCCGGAGACAAGGGATCTTCTTGGCAAACGCCTCTTCAAGATTTAAGAACCTCGACAGGACTCCATTTATCAACACAAAAAACTAGGAATTGCACTCCACAGCATAAAGATGAGAAAATTTCACTCCACTCGATCATACAACTTCTCCATGTCTAACTTTAGAATCAAATTAGGATTAGTCAATCATTTATTCAAATCCAACATAAGCTCCTGAGCCAGCATAATATTATCACAAATACTCTGTCCAGGTATAAATCCTGACTGCGACGAAGCAATCAGTTTCAGAAGCAATATGTTAAGTCTATTTGCTAGGACTTTTGAGATAATTTTCGAACTTACATTGCACAAACTGATAGACCTGGATTCCTGCCATCTCGAAGTCCCAGCAACCTTAGGGATGAAAACAATAATCATACTAGTAAACCCCTTTGGCTGATGCCCTCCCTTAAAAAACTCATGAACAACGGCCGCTAAATCATCATAAATTATGTCTCAACATGATTGATAAAACCCTATCCCAAAACCATCTGTCGCTGGAGAAGTGTCCTTGGACATAGAAAAAATCACATCCTTAATCTCCTCCATAGTCGGCATTCGGAGCAGGGTTTTGTTCTCCCTATCCTTCATTTTCGACAGCCAGAAATCCAGCTGAGGTAAGGTTCTGACATCCCAGTCAGCTGAAAATTTTTTTGAAAAATATTGCACAGCCGATTCCTGAATCAGAGACTTCTCTTCTATCCATCCTGATGACTCATCACAAATCTGAGAAATGAAATTAGTGGTGCATGAAAGAACTTAGTATTAGCATCCCCTGATTGAAGCCACTTAATCCTGGATTTCTAATGCTAGAAGTCACTTGGTGGCAAAGGTTCTAGCATGATGAGCCTTAGCTTCCCCCAATCTAAGCTTGGATTGCAAGTCACGATTTCGGTCATATTCCTCTTCACACTGTTTAAGCACTTGCTCTGCTACCAGCCTACCACTACCTACTTAAAGATATTACAAAATGAGCAAACATTCCACTCCTGTCATTTAGCCTTGGTTTGCATTCATTCCTTGCATAGCCACCGACAAATCCCAAGCATTTTTTACCACCTTAAGAAAGTCAGGATGACCAGACCACACATTCAGAAACTTGAACATTTTACACCCAGCAACATCGTCCCACACTTTACCAGAAGAGGCATGTGATCAAATCGACCTCTCACTAAATGAGAGATGTTAGAAAACCCAAAAAGTTCTCCCCACACACAATTTGACAAAGCACGATCAAGTCTTTGCCAAAGGAATCCATTGGTCCAAGTAAAGGGTTGTCCGTCAAAGTGAACATCACTCAAGCCACAGCTAAACATGGCTTCATTGAATTCTTCCATATTACGAATATTTGGTGGGGACCCTCCCTAAAATTCAACAGCATTAGAGATAACATTGAAATCTCCAACAACCAACCAAGGTGATTCACCGATTTTAATTTCCTCTAAAACCTTCCAAAGTGCTCTCCTACCTACTCTAGTGCACTTGGCATACACCGTAGACAAACTAAACTCATAACTACTAAAAGCTTGAACCCTCATGTGGACCAGTTGATCACCAACTTCATGAGAGGAAATTGAAAATTCGTTGAACCATAACACCCAAATTTTACTCTCCAAGAAGGATTGAGCAAAAGAAAATTTCAACATACGTCGAATAGTATCCAGTTGAGCTACATTAGTTGTTGGCTCAATTAAAACTAGCAATCGAACAACATGACAAGAACATAGTTGAAAAGATAATGCTAAAAGTCTCGATGAGATATTCCCCTCACATTCCATATCAAAAAATTAAGAGGACTAATCATGGATTGGGGAGAGGATTTTTAGTTTGAGAAAAAAAAATGTTGAAGCTAATTGGTTGTCCCGACTTCTTCGCTAAATTTTTCAATAGCTCTATATCTTTCATGTCCAAAACTGCTCCCTGAGGACAGTCATCGCTTAGCAACTTGGAGTCCTTAAGTTGTACGTCCAAGAAATCCTTAAGATGACAAAGGTGCTGATTCAAACCAAAGAGCTCCTAGAAATTGTCCATGAAATTTCGTCTTCTATTAGACATCTTCTCAAACTGCCTAGGGGAAGTGCCAGCAGAATGACAAACGTGATCCAGCGGTTGACTAACCAAGGCATCTAGTTCATCTGCATTCTGTTCTAAGACCACCAATAAATTGGAAACACTAATCACCTTCTCTAGTTTGGACGCTGAAGCTCAAGCAGCTTGCTGCCCAGTTTCCAGCCGTTGAAGATCCAAGACAGTGAGTTTGAAGCCGTTTTCATTAGCTGGAGCAGCAGATAACAGCAAGTGATTGTTATCCGAAGTCAAGGCCAGCAAACTCAGCTGATGAAGAAGGTGCATTATACGTTACCCTCTACACCTAACACGTCTCTCCCCTAGCTTGTTGTGTTGGATCCTTAATCCAACGTTGGATTTATATGTGAATAATTATGTAATGCAAATTGTCAAATAAGGTTAAGTCTAATTAAAGTGATCAAATATGATTTGGACTTAATGTATCTAATAGGATGTGGGCCTTTAATGTGTAGAAACTTAAGGGCTCCTATTTCTATGATGGGCTGAAATAGGGTTCCAAAGGGTAACAGGAATGTTACCTATAAATAGGGTTATGGTCCCCAAGTCACACGATCATTCTATTTGTCGTATTTTCTAGTACCAAAAAATAGCTCTTTCCTGATATCCCATCGTCATGAAAGATACCAGAGAGATACAAAAGGGCTCTCTCAAGAATTGGAAAATACGTGTTGACCTGGAAGGCCACCTCAATATCTTTGGAGATTCAAATATTAGTTTGTCGATATGAATCCAGGTACGCTTCTGCAATTTTGTAGTTAATTTATTTTTAATAATTGCCATATAGACTTTGGGTTTAATAGGTGATGGTTTTCACCAAAGGTTAAATATAAATAACCACTCTAACAAGTGGTATTAGAGCTAATTATGGTTGATTATTGAGAAATAATTTGGATTCAGTAATTTGTGTATATAGGTATATTTTATGTCGTGCAAATTTGGATTTTGGTTATATGGTTATCAGCTCTTAAATGTAATGGCCGATTGTTCAAATTTAGAAGTCGGATGAATTTGATTGAAACGAATTGTATTGAAACTCATTCATGTTGTGTGAATTGGCTTGTCCTGAATGATTGTTAGTTTTGTCTCTAGTCTTTTGGTCATAATTATTCCATGCTTCTGGTTTTGATTCACGGAAATTTTGGTCAAATACTATTCTGATCATGATTGTTTGCATATGTTATAGACTTATAGTCTAGTGTTCATGGTAGCAGTTAATTTATGAATTGTACTATCTATTGTTTTGGTTATCATTGAATTCTGTGGTTCCACTTTGGTTTCATTGATTCATTGTTTGGCCGATACATTGTCTCTTTATGCGATTTTAAGTTGGCCGATTGTCTACTTCTGCATCTCAAGCATTCGGCTTTGTTTGAAACCATGACTAATTGGCACGTGTTTCAAGAATCAAGTTTACTTGGCCTAATTAATTGTTTATTTTATTTATATCGCTTGAATCCAGTTATGGGTATGCCTTTGATTATAAAATTAGGACAATTAACTTGAATTTTTGACTTGTTTTCTTGTTTAAGAGCTAATATGTATATATTTATATTAAGAAAATTAGGATTTTTTTAATTTAAGTGAATCCTAATAAAGTTGATAAGACATTTAAGCCCTATAAAAGTCCATATGCTTGGCCCACTAAATATATAATTTTATAAAGTATTTATGGACTTCAAGAAAAAAATATTGGGATTGAATAATAAATTGGGTCAAATTATGAATATGGACCTTTGGTCCAATAAGTCCTGATTCAATTGACTGGTTTGACCACGTTTTGACCAGAGTTGACCAAAGTTGACTTTGATCAAAATTTTTGTTTAATTTGTATAATTTTAAATTTGAATATTGGTATGATTATATATATTTTGAAATAAATTAATTGAAATAATATGTCACCAAAGTGACCTCTATTATGAAAATTAATTTATTTTAAAATATAACTAGTTGGGTACTTATAATTTTATGAATATTGATTGGCTCAAAGAAAGGTCAATATTTAATAAAATTACATGTGCACTTGTGGTTATAAATACGTGATAATTATTTGGATTTTACATGTGATTTATAAATTGACCCAAAGGAAAATTTAGTTTTTGGTATGTTATTATTATCAGTATTTATTATTGCACCAATATATCACTTAGAAGTTAATATTTTTGTCCAAAGATAAAATATTAATGGAACATCGGTATCTTGAGATGGGATTATCTTTATTTAAATTTATTATTGTTTTGATTTGTGTGAGTTTGTTTTAATTATATCATGTTTTCTATTCAGTTGCGAATGATCTTACAAATATTACTTCTAACATCAATAATATTCCTATGCTGAATGGCACAAACTTCAAGTCCTGAAAAGAAAATCTCTTGATAGTACTTGGAGTAATGGATCTCGACCTTGCATTAAGGGATGATTCTCCCCCACCTCTTACATATCAGAGTACCTCTGATGAAAAGAGAAATAATGAAAGGTGGGAGAGATCGAATTGCTTGTGTCTGATAATCATTAAAAAGGCCATACCAGAAGCATTCAAGAGAACAATGTCAAAAACGATGGTAACCGTTAAAGAGTTCCTTCAGGATATTGAAAAAAAGTTTGTCAAGAACGAAAAGACTGAAGTTAATACGCCCTTGACACGCCTAATTTCGATGAAATATAGTGGTAAAGGTAATATCAGAGAGTACATTATGGAGATATCTCATCTTGCCTCAAAATTGAATGCACTTAAATTGAAACTCTCCGAAGAGTTACTAGTGCATTTGATTTTAATATCTCTTCCTACACAGTTTAGTTAGTTTAAAGTGCGTTACAACTGTCAAAAGGAGATTTGGTTTCTAAATGAACTCATCTCACACTGTGTAGAAGAAGAAGAAAGGTTGAAACTGTGACGCCCCTACTTTTCCCTAAAACGAACCAAAGGGTATCGGCGGGACGCCTGCCCAACTCTCGCTAGAACTCAAGACAAAACAATTCAAGCTTATCGATATATAACCATTTGTGCAAGCGCCTAATAAAGAAGAGTCGTTTCCATCAACATATACACAAGTCTTACACCACGAGCTCAAAATACATCAATTATCCAATGCTTACATCAGGTTCCCAAAAGATACATCAATTTTCCCAGAATATACAACAATCAAAATGTCTAACCAATTACATTTGAAACCCTAATACAAAAATACATCCAAAGGGTTCCTCCGAGTTTCACTCCATCCATTCCTGTTAAGGAAAACAATTCTATGGGATGAGCAATTGCTCGTGAGTTCAAGAACACACATGCAAGCACATTGTCCAAGTAGGAATCTCATTCGATAATGAAAACAATAACATTCGAGTAATTAATAATTCAAGAGAAAATTTAAACAGAAACAATTCAAGGATATGGTAGCTCTCAAGAGCCAATTTCCACTTGCTTTGCCAACCTCAATCGTATACCTCACCGTGATGACACTCCGTCAACCGGGTTGGCATTTCCAATCCGTAGAACTCCACTTACTTCACATTTCCGTCCACCGTACACCGCACCGGGCCCTAACTTCGTTTATAAGACGCTACTGAACGAGTAAGCCAAGCAAGATCTCTCCAATAGATCAAACTTATCATTGCATTCCCATGACTCACCGAGGTTCCCCACCAAACCCATGCCGGCTCGAGTCCTAGAGTCGGCCGATGAGTTTGGGCATCCCCCATTTCATTTATGAGTTGAGAAGATTCACTTCAGCGACGTATGCAGCTATAGCATACCATTTCATTCATTCAATCATTCAATATCATTCATTCATTCAATCCATTCAATACATTTCATTCCATTTATTTCATTTCAAACAATTCAATCATGATTCATTCGAATGAAAATGATTGCGATAAAGTACACATTTGACTCCATTTTCAAAATTTTCAATCATTAATAACAGTTAAGCATGTATTAAATTCGCATATACTTGACACTTATCAAGTAATTCAAGTAGCAATGCACAAGCATTTGTTTTAAGCGTCTCCCGTGAGATTCTCTTGAAGATCCTCTTGAGTGCTTGAGCAATTAATAATGAACTATCACTCAACATCACTTAAAATCCCTAATTATCAAGAAAGATTGCACACTTGTATAATTTAAGAAAATTTCACGAGTACGAGCCATAGTTACTCGTAAATCGAGACTCAAAAGTGGAGTTTTAAAAGTACAAGAGAAATCTAATTTTCATCTTTAAAAATATCAAGTGCAAAACGGTCGAGTGATATGGAAGGAAAATGGAGAGTTCGAAACCCTCAATTTCCTTTAAGTTAGAAATTTTCAGATTTATCAAGCGATTTTTGAAAAATCGTATCTCACTCTCTGTAAGTCCAAAATTAGAAAACTTGGTACCGTTGGAAACTACTTCCAAAGTATTAAGAGTTCTTAGAAGTCATTTTTCCATGATTCCAAATGGATGACATTCAAAATTCGGCTCAAAGTTGCTACTTTGGACTATCAAGACAGTTTCGGGGTTGGTTTTTGACTAACTTTGAAAATTCGGCAAAGTTCATAGATTATGAACTAGCCTCTCAAATTTGAAACTCAATTAGAGTTACAATAAAAGTTTAAAACACAACAAGCAGAATAAGAATTGGAGCTTTGAGCACCAAGATATAGTAGGTCAAAGTTGCTAAAATTTCCTCACTAACGGTTCATTTGCAAAGACAATGTCTAAAAAAATCTAAAATGTGTTTGATAGGTGATTAACACCAAGAGTTTCAAAATAACAAATCCCCAATTCAAAATGAGCCATTGGCTAGCCAAAACTAGGGTTTTCAATCATTGATGCAGTTCTGAAATTTGGCCACAACTCACTCAATTCAACTTGGAATTGGGTGTAGTTGATAGCGTTGGAAACTACATTCACGGGGCTACAATTTCTCAGAAGAAATTGTTTTAAAATTCTATCCATAACTAGCTCAAATTCAAGCAACAACTCGCAGCACTTAACAGGCTCTCTAACACAGCTGAGAAACAGGATAGGTGACTTTGAAAGGTTGGTATAGTTCACTCAAGTGGAATCGGGGAATGCATTTTATACCGTTGGAAAACTGGAAGTGTCTAGTTTCTAATGCCATAAATGCACTTGATTTCGTTGTCGGAGCAAAGAGTTATAGTCATTTGAAAATCACTACCTGAACAACTCTGGACACGTTTCCCAATTGTAAAGAAATTTCGAAATCTCAACTTTTGGCCAACCAAATCAAGTGATTTTTGGTGAAAACTTTTCACACAACCTAAACAACGTATCTACATGAAAATCAAGTCAATTGGACCACAAATATTTGCACCAACAGGTGCGGCAAAGCAGGGGCAGAACCAGCACTTTTCTTCCTTTTGTTTCCTTTGAGTTTTCTTTTCACTTTTCAACTTATAATGACTAGTTTAACCATTAATTCAACATAAACAACACCCAATATCATCACATCAGTTTATCAAGTCCATTGTGGGATTTCATAGAGTCCACTCACAAGATCTACATCGATCCAAGACTGCCCACATGAAGCTACAAGCTTCTAAGTTCAATTTAACCTACGAAAGCTAAGATTTGAAGAGTGGATGATCATATACCTCATTAGACGTTAAGACCAGAAATTTTCGGTCCTTCTTAGCTCCAAGAAACCATGAGAATAAAGCTCTTCTCCTAGCCCAAGATGACCTCCAAGTTATTTGCAAGGTGTAGTGCGAATTTGAGGTGATTTGGTGCAAGAAAGTGAGGTGAAATGAATAAAATTTTTGGTCTTCTTCTCCAAGGTGATGCATGGCTGTTTGAGTGAGAAAGAGAGAGTTGTTGCAGCTGCAAAAGCTTCTTGAGGAAGCTTAAGAATGTGTGGCCAACAATGATCCAAAAGTTAACTAAGCATAGTGCGCATTTCGTGCCTGTTTTCTCTCGGGTTTGTTTCACTTGTGCACTAAACCCCTAATGCACCTCCATTCATACTATTATTATTCACTCTTAATAGTCTAAAAATAAAGGTCTAATATCCCTCAAATAATTGCGCGTGCGAAAATGCGAACTTCTAATTTGTGCGCGATAAAGTGAAATTTCTAAGAATGTCTTATAACGATAGTATAACTAACTAATACTTGAGTACATAAACATAAAAATACTTATTTTAAGACTAATGTATAAGTCTTTAATTTTCCAAACTTATTGTACCCTTGAATCGATTATTACCGAACGCGCATTCACTATTCTCACTAAACGAGATTTCAAAAATTAAATTTTGTAACAAGTCATTTTAAAATTACATGTAAGCCATAGTTTCCTGTATTTGGGTCTAAAAAAGTTGGAATAAAATATTCGGAGTAAACGGCCAATTACATATTTAAATAAGCTAGTAATAGGAGTTTAAAAATAGAAAAATTTGCAGGTCCTCACAGAAACAAGATCAGACAGAAAGTGCCCATCTAGTGTCAACCACTAGTAATAAAAGCAATGGGCTTAAGAGAAAGAAGGGAAAAGGAGCTGCAGGTACAGCGCCACAAAAGAAACAACAAAAGAAATCAGATGATCAGAGAAAGAATAGTTGTTTCTTCAATGGAGTTGAAGGGCATAAAAAGAAGCATTGCACCAACTATTACGCTTGGCGTGCTAAGAAAGGTATGCTTCTTAATTTAGTTTGTTTTGAAATTAATTTAACTTCGGTACCTAGACACACATGGTGGTTAGATTCTGATGCAACAACTCACATCAGTGTGTCTATGCAGGGTTGCCTGAATTGTCGAAAGTCTAATGATAATGAAAAATATATCTATGTGGGAGTCCTTAAGTTGTACGTCCAAGAACTCCTTAAAATGACAAAGGTGCTGATTCAAACCAAAGAGCTCCTGGAAATTGTCCATGGAATTCCGTCTTCTATTAGACATCCTCTCAAACTACCTAGAGGAAGTGAACGTGATCCAGCAGCTGACTAACCAAGGCATCTAGTTCATCCGCATTCTATTCTAAGACCACCAATGAATTGGAAACACTGATCACCTCCTCCAGTCTGGACGCTGAAGCTCAAGCAACTTGCTGCCTAGCTTCCAACCGTTGGAGATCCAAGACAGTGAGTTTGAAGCTATTTTCATTAGCTGGAGTAGCAGATAACAACAAGTGATTGTTATCCGAAATCGAGGCCAGCAACTCAGCTGATGAAGAAGGTGCATTATACGCTACCTTCTGCACCTGACACGCCTTTCCCCTAGCTTGTTGTGTTGGATCATTAATCCAACGTTGGATTTATATGTGAATAATTATGTAATGCAAACTGTCAAATAAGGTTAAATCCAATTAAAGTAATCAAATATGATTTGGATTTAATATGTCTAATAGGATGTGGGCCTTTAATGTGTAGAGATTTAAGGGCTCCTATTTCTATGATAGGCTGAAATAGGGTTCCAAAGGGTAACAAGAATGTTACCTATAAATAAAATTATGGTTTCCAAGTCACACGTGTTATTCTATTTGTCGTATTTTCTAGTACCAAAAAATAGCTCTTCCCTGATATCCTATCATCAGAAAAGATACCAGAGAGATACTAAAGGCCTCTCTCAAGGATTGACAAATACGTGTTGACTTGAAAGGCCACCCAAATATCTTTGGAGATTCAAATATTAGTTTGTTGATATGAATCCAGGTACGCTTCCACAATTTTATAGTTAATTTATTTCTTAATAATCGCCATATAGATTTTGGGTTTAATAGGTGATAGCTTTCACCAAAGATTAAACATAAATAACTACCCTAACATGTTGCACCAATAAACCATCACCATTCTGCTTAGCCTCAACACCTAC